CCCATATCTCGCATCCCTTTCTCCACACCTTCTTCCCGCATACAAAATCCCATTGTTTCTACACTCCGAAGAACAATATCCATTAACATATTTCGGCCGAATATTCCAGCGATTCGGTAAACATTCATTTGGAAGTTCGAACGGTAAACCCGGTCGTGCTAATTCTCGTGGATCATTGATGCGTGCTAATTGTGCGTAGAGAAGGTAACAGTTGGGTCCTGCGTGGAGAGTGCGGTGGCCGCAAAGGGGCTCTATGCTCCAGTAATTGCACATATGATTGGTTTTGGTTCAGATGGGAGATTTAACAAGTATGAATCTGGGATTTTAGGACTGAGAGCTAGATGAATGGTGGATGGTGATCAATTTGAATGGGAAGAGAGAAAGATCAATGATCACACCTACAATACAAAAGTGCTGTTCAAAAGAAGACTTCGGAATACGAAGCTACAAGAAGTATACTTATACCGGAAACACAAGCTCTCTCATGATTCTCCCATAACTGAGAATTCCTATCATTGATCAATGTGACACACCTGCTCTTCACAATATGAGTCTTCATTTGCTGTACGCAAAGAATACTCTTCGCTGTACGGCGGGCCATCATCCCCGATTATTCAAACGGCGCACTATTTATAGAAAATCCTCCGACAGCAAGCAAAAAGTGCGAGCAGATAGCTATTCCTCAAATCGGAATTTTACCATCATAGCGATTGCAAAAATGTGATGTTGATGCTTGAGTTTGGCATTTTGCAAACCTCAAACAGCTACACAAAAAGATGAGATAGTGGGTCCCGCATCAGCTGTTTGTTGAGTCTCTGACTGTGATGAGGATTGTTTCATGCAGGATATTGAGGGAAGAATGAGAAGGTTGGTACGGGCAAAGAGGATTTTGTGTTACTCTAATCGGAAGAAACAGTTTGCTAAAGAATGTCACGGGAAGCTATGATCTTGCTCAACAAATTTATGAAATAATTTTGTAAATTTTCGATGATTCTAGCTCTAATAAGATTGGGTATAATGAAAAGACAAATTAGTACTTGGAAACTATTGTGGCAAGTTCTTCTTGAGTCTTTCTTCGTATCTTCCAAAATCTGGAACCTCGGGGTTTGAAGCAGGCGAAAGACTTTGGCCATCAGCCTTGCTGTTTAGTTCTGCTGTGATTGCATCAACGTCGACATTGAGATAATCTCTCAAAAATTCGCCGACTTCGATATTTTCGTGGTTTCCACGAAGTACATCAGCACCATAACCATAGATGTTGACATCCACAGCAGAGTGACCGTGAGTTGACCAACCGATCTGTGCTCTGCAGCTGATGATATCGGCGAAAGCATAAGCAGAAAGCGCCGGGTTGTCAAGTACGCGATCAATCTCTTCCTCACTCGCGTCCATAACCCCGAGACCTTTCTTAATGAGATCTTCTTTCACGAATCGCCTACTCACGGGGCGTCCATTGGCAATCGCTTCTGAAGAAGCAACATGAGCCCTTAAAGCCCTAGAAAGATACTCTGATGAATGGGAAGCATTTGCCAACACCTCAGGGTACCATAAATATTGAGGGTATGAAGGATTAAGTTCTGAATATGAAATTAGCAATAGGTCATGGGCATGACGAGCTGGTATATCTTACGTCTTGCAACAGCTAAGCCTCCAGTCTCGTGATCACTTGTAGCAACAAGAGCACCTTCTGTATCGCTCTTGTCCAGGAAACCAATCACACTTTGGAAAGCTCGATCATAGGCAAGTACTTCGTGAACTTGGGCGGCCTAAAAAAATCTAGTCAGTCATACTACTCGTCATGTCGCCTCCAAGTGATCTATAGTAACTTACTGGGTCATTTCCATGGCCGGCATGATCGATTCGACTTCCCTCAATCATGAGAAAGAAACCCTTATCACTATCTTTGGTTGCAGCTTCGAGCGCAGTCAAAGCTGTTCTTGCCATCTCATCAAGGGAAGGATAGACATCGTTCATGTTTCGTCGATCAAGCTCGAAAGGAATATCTGTATCAGAAAATAGACCCAAAAGTGGCAGCTGAACATTCTTTCCAAGCTTCAATTTGTCAAAATCCTCTCTGGTATCAATGTATGTCCACCCGTATTTGTCTTGCGCCAATTTTGTGACATCGCGATCATCAGCTCTGCAACTGGATTCCGATGTATTGGGCAAGAAGTGACAGCGTCCACCGCCCAACATCAAATCTACCACTCGGTGTCCAAGGGGATGTTCTCCCACCTCTTGTAAAGCTATGGAGTCTTCCTGCATTCGGTAATCAACATGTGAGGCAAAACAAGCTGGGGTCGCGTCCGTGATATCTGTTGTGACAACCACTGGAGATGTTAGCACTTCGATGTCTGATTGAACATGGCAGTTGTTCACTTACAGCCCGTGGTATAACCAGCTCTCTTCGCAGCTTCGAGTACAGTACCACATGGGGTGTGATCGGGCAACATAGAAATTGCGCCGTTATAGCTTTTTTTCCCACAACTAAATGCAGTAGCTCCCGCCGCACTATCTGTGACAAGACTGCTGCTTGATCTCGTGCGCGACGAACCGATAAAATGTTGATCAAGTTGAAGAATGTCATTGATGGGCAGATCTCCTTCGAATTGTCGGAAGCTTCTGGTCAAACTCAAAGATGCCGGGCCCATTCCATCGCTCACCATGAAAATAAGATTGCGCTTCCCATTTTGCTTTGTCTTCTTTGGAGCTTGATGGCTTTGCGACAATAAAACGCCTAGGACGATGACAGCAGCAGTAGCAACAACAGCCCAAGTGAAGAGCCCGATCTCTCTCCAGAATCCAGGTCTCTTGGCTTCATAGGAATTCTTTCGTCGATTACCAAGAAGCGCATCGTCTTCTGCCGCAGCTCTTTCTTCGGAATTAGAGGAAGAGGGTCTTCCTGACGCGAACAGCGGACTGTTGTTATTCGGCGCCATTAGGTATTGCGCTGAGGTTGTCAAGTTGTATGTATAAATAAGATTTACCTATCGCTGAAAAGTATGAGTCCGCAGACAGAAACTTACCACTTGGGTTGGCAAGTTAATGATGTCAGCCCGGTTTTGAGACAGAAGAGCTCACTAGGCACGTCAAGTGTCAGGGCGCTATTTTGCCTGGGCAACCAACAGATCGGTGTACAAAAAGTGTTAGGCAGATCTTCGCAACATGCACACCAATCTTTCATTTCGAGTGCAGACATCAATAGTAGAGCTTCCGAGAACTTACTGAAGGAAACGATCTACCGATAAGACCAAATCTTTATGGAATTTAGTGAACAGTCAATTATCACTTGTTACTCGTATAAAAACTCGTTAATGCAAGGTCGCGTAAGTTATGTGAATGTGTATTTTGGACTGCGACTGATTAATTACTCCTTGCTACCACATGGCATGATGTAATCTGTTGCTTTTACCTACTCTTCAAATGCCTAAAAAGAGCGACTTCTGTTTGGTCAATATTCATGAATGGATTTACAGTTGATGGGTAGGATTTGCATCGTAGATTTTGAAAAAAAGGGGAGCTGAGATTGAAGAAATATCACGAAGTGGAAGTCACGATGTCACACATTGGTGAAACCTATTTATGGTTCCAAGAGGCTGCTGGGGCTGTATTCACGAGACCTTTCTGGTTCGGTATGGAAGATGTACATCTCCCCTGTTGTCTGACTTGTCGAATGGAATTCATCATGTGATGGTAAACTCGGCTCACATAGTCGTAGAAAAAGGCGAACATTGTCTTTGCAGTATTTTCATAAATTGCTCGAAAACCCCGATTAATTGCCTGCTTCACTAACCGGTGAACAGATCCGAATCGAACCCCATTCACCTTTATGCATTCTGACGCCAACCTCACAATGGACAGGCACTCAGTGTAGTCGAAGCTCATGAATTGGTGGAAGCCCTGAGATTTATACAGCTATTTCCTGCTGCGATTCATTCCAGCCTTCCCAGTCAAACACCAAAGGACCCAGAACTAATCAACCGCTTAACGCTTCTTTTGTTGAGACTCCTTGAGAACCTTCTTGACAATCTTCTGCTCCTCAATCAAGAAAGCTCTGACGATACGATCTCTAACGCAGTTGGCACATCTTGATCCTCCGTAGGCACGTTGAACAGTCTTCTTTGGGCGGGAGATCTGGGAGTATTCGCGGGGTCGGAGGGCTGGGATCTACAGGAAATGAATTAGCATTTCCATAACCAATTTTTTAATAATCAAAACTCCGTTGGAATCAACCATCGCTACGTTCGAGAGCCCGGAGCCCATATCGGCCATCGCTAAATAAAAACTGGTGCCATGTAGATAATTGTCTCGCGCTTGTATTCCAACCTGGCGAATGATTTTTCGAGTTTTCCTTTCTTCCTCCTCCCTTGTAATTCAATCGAAAGATATCAACTTACACCTGGCAATTTAATTCCGCAGTCACCGCACTTTGGTGCAGTACCGGCCTTCTTGATGTGAAGATAACGAAGCTCGCCGCCGGGGGTCTTAACAACTCTGACCTTGTTGGATCGAGTGTTGTATCTATTTTAATCAATATATGGCTCTTCTTCCAACGTTGTATAATTGAAACTCACGGGTTTCGGCGTCTGTAGGTCAATCTGTTGGACGACATGTTGGCGAATTTCTGATTCGGAGGTCGATTGAGGTCGTTGGCGTTGTCGATTGATTCTTGAGTTTTGTCAAATTGAACAAATTCTTCGTGCGCGATAACTCGCTAGAGCTATCACGCTTATAGTTAGATCATTCACGTGCCAATTAGAGAGCCCTTGCGCCTCGTGCTTACATCAGCACCTTAACATTCAGGCAACAAAACTTAAAGCTTAATTGAACGGATGCGCTAGCGGGCATTTCCTTAAGCTCTCCGTGTAGTGTTAAAATTTGTCTGAACGCGCTCGCGACAACACATTCATCAACTTTATACCTATCAACGACAAAGTGAAGTTCTATTCAAAAGGCGACTTGTTGATGGAATTTGGGACTCGGTACCCAAGACATTAAAAATGTCATCAATTCCACCACCTCCCCCGCCTGGATGGAGCTCTTCTGCGCCTCCATCCATGCCTTTGGGCGCGCCACCTGGTGCTCCTCCTCCTCCAGGTTATCGACCACCGGCGGATCCACATGTTGCGAAGTTTGCACAGAAGAAGAAGGATTGGTTACGAACACAGCGAAATAGATTCGGCGAAAAACGAAAGGGTGGTTTTGTAGAAACTCAGAAAGCTGATATGCCACCAGAGCATCTGCGGAAGATCGTTAAGGATATCGGAGATGTATCACAAAAAAAATTCAGCAGTGATAAACGAAGTTATCTCGGTGCACTCAAATTCATGCCACATGCCGTGATGAAATTGCTGGAGAACATGCCAATGCCTTGGGAGTCTGCGAGGGAGGTAAAGGTGCTGTACCACGTTAACGGATGCTTGACTTTGGTTAATGAAATACCAAGAGTTATCGAGCCAGTGTTTCACGCACAATGGGCTACGATGTGGATTTGTATGAGAAGAGAAAAGAGTGATAGGCGGCATTTCAAGAGAATGAGATTTCCGCCATTCGATGACGAAGAACCACCCCTTTCATGGTCGGAGAATATCGAAGATGTCGAACCACTGGAGCCAATTCAACTGGAACTCGATGAAGGAGAGGATGCTGCTGTCTTAGAATGGTTTTACGAAAATCGACCACTACTTGACACGCCACATGTCAACGGCCCGAGTTACAAGGAATGGAATCTTACTTTACCTCAAATGGCGACTTTATATCGATTGAGTCGACAATTACTGAGTGATTTAGTCGACAAGAACTACTTTCACATGTTCGAATTGAAAAGCTTTCAGACAGCCAAGGCTTTGAATGTTGCTATTCCTGGTGGCCCACGTTTTGAACCTCTGTACAAAGATGTGGATCCTAATGATGAAGACTTCGGAGAGTTCAATGCAATCGATCGCATCATCTTCCGAGCTCCAATTCGAACAGAGTACCGTGTAGCATTTCCTTACTTATACAATTCACTACCTCGTAGCGTTAAGCTTTCCTGGTTTTCGCATCCGCAAGTGGTATATGTTCGTGCTGAAGATCCAAGTTTACCGGCATTCTATTTTGATCCCGTTATCAACCCAATTTCTTCCAGATCTGTTGCCCCAAAAAACATAACCATCAGTCACGAAGACGAAATATTTGGTCCAGGTAGCAATGAAGAGCCAGAAGAAGACGCTTTCAGACTGCCAGGTGATGCTGAGCCATTCCTCGCGGACGAGGAGTTATACACTAGCGAAACAGCTTCAGCCATTTCCTTGTGGTGGGCTCCCTTTCCATTCGATCGAAGATCCGGTCGCATGGTTCGGGCACAAGATGTACCTCTAGTAAAGCAGTGGTATCTTGAGCATTGCCCTCAAGGTCAGCCAGTAAAGGTTCGAGTTTCATACCAGAAGCTCTTAAAGACTTATGTTTTGAACGAGTTGCATAAGAGGAAGCCGAAAGCACAAAGTAAACAAAGCTTGATGAAATCGTTGAAGCAAACGAAGTTCTTCCAGCAAACAACAATTGATTGGGTTGAAGCTGGACTTCAAGTCTGCAGGCAGGGTTTCAACATGTTGAATCTTCTTATTCATCGCAAGAACCTTACATACTTGCATCTTGATTATAATTTCAATTTGAAGCCTGTCAAGACACTAACAACAAAGGAAAGAAAGAAGTCCCGATTCGGAAATGCGTTCCATCTGATGCGAGAGATTTTGAAAATGACAAAGTTGATTGTTGACGCACAAGTCCAGTATCGACTCGGCAATATCGACGCTTTTCAACTTGCAGATGGTATTTTATACGCTTTCAATCACGTCGGCCAGCTGACCGGAATGTACCGTTATAAGTACAAGCTGATGCATCAAATTCGTTCGTGTAAAGATTTGAAGCATTTAATCTATTATCGATTCAACTCTGGACCAGTAGGCAAAGGGCCTGGTTGCGGCTTCTGGGCACCTGCTTGGAGAGTTTGGCTCTTCTTCATGCGTGGTATAATTCCATTACTTGAAAGATGGCTTGGAAATCTCCTTTCTAGGCAATTTGAAGGACGTCACAGTAAAGGTGTTGCAAAGACAGTCACAAAACAACGTGTAGAGTCGCACTTTGATCTTGAATTGCGAGCATCGGTTATGGCCGATCTTCTTGATATGATGCCGGAGGGTATCAAGCAAAACAAGGTTCAAACTGTACTTCAACATCTTTCAGAGGCATGGAGATGCTGGAAGAGTAACATTCCTTGGAAGGTTCCTGGCTTACCAGCACCTATCGAGAATATCATTCTTCGTTATGTGAAGAGTAAGGCGGATTGGTGGATTTCCGTCGCTCACTACAATCGAGAGCGTATTCGTCGAGGAGCGACTGTCGATAAAACAGTTGCAAAGAAGAATCTTGGTCGTCTAACAAGACTTTGGCTCAAGGCCGAACAAGAGAGACAACACAATTACATGAAGGACGGTCCATACGTCTCTTCTGAAGAAGCTGTTGCTATCTATACAACCACTGTTCATTGGCTGGAGTCACGAAAATTCTCACCCATTCCATTCCCCAGTGTTTCATACAAGCACGACACCAAAATCCTTATCCTTGCGTTGGAACGACTTCGTGAAGCATACTCTGTCAAGGGACGACTAAACCAGAGTCAGCGTGAGGAATTAGCTTTGATTGAGCAAGCTTATGACAGTCCTGGAACTACTTTGGAGAGAATCAAGCGCTTCCTACTAACCCAGAGAGCTTTCAAAGAAGTGGGAATTGATATGAACGACAATTATAGCACAATCAACCCTGTGTATGATATCGAACCCGTGGAGAAGATCAGTGATGCCTATCTAGATCAATACCTCTGGTATCAAGCCGATCAACGCCATCTTTTCCCTGCCTGGATCAAGCCTTCCGATTCCGAAGTCCCACCCTTGTTAACCTATAAATGGGCTCAAGGTATCAACAACCTCGACAAAGTTTGGGAGACTGCAGATGGAGAATGCAACGTCATGATCGAAACACAACTATCCAAGGTGTATGAGAAGATCGATCTGACTCTTCTTAATCGTCTACTTCGACTCATTATGGATCACAATCTGGCTGATTACATATCATCTAAAAACAACGTTCAACTGACCTACAAAGATATGAATCACGTGAACAGTTACGGAATGATCAGAGGTCTTCAATTCTCGGCTTTCGTTTTCCAGTACTATGGACTTGTTCTCGATCTTTTATTACTTGGTCTACAACGCGCTAGTGAAATTGCCGGTCCACCAGCGGGTCCTAACGACTTCCTGCAATTCCGCGACCGCGAGACGGAAACGAGACATCCCATTCGTCTGTACACTAGATATATTGATCGCATTTGGGTATTCTTCCGCTTTTCGGCTGATGAATCACGCGATCTTATCCAGCGTTTCCTGACAGAGCAACCGGATCCTAATTTCGAAAATGTAATCGGCTACAAGAACAAGAAATGTTGGCCAAGAGATTCTAGAATGCGTCTTATGAGACACGATGTCAACTTGGGACGTGCTGTCTTCTGGGACTTGAAGAACCGCTTACCAAGATCTGTTACTACAATCGAATGGGATGATACCTTTTCAAGTGTATACAGCCGAGATAACCCTAATTTACTTTTCTCTATGTGCGGGTTCGAAGTTCGAATTCTCCCTAAGATTCGTAACCAAAATGACGAATTCCCGGTCAAGGACAGCGTCTGGTCCTTAGTCGATAATACCAGTAAGGAGAGAACGGCACATGCATTCTTGCAGGTTACCGAGGAGGATATTGCAAAATTCAACAATCGCATTCGTCAAATTCTGATGTCCTCGGGTTCGACCACATTCACGAAGATCGCTAATAAGTGGAACACTACTTTGATCGCCCTTTTCACATACTATCGTGAAGCAGCCGTATCCACGGTCAATTTACTAGATACCATTGTGAAGTGTGAAACCAAGATTCAGACCAGAGTCAAGATCGGTCTTAATTCTAAGATGCCTTCTCGTTTCCCTCCTGCGGTTTTCTACACCCCTAAGGAACTTGGTGGTCTTGGTATGATATCTGGATCACATATCCTTATTCCTACAAGCGATAAAAGATGGTCCAAGCAAACCGATGTTGGCGTTACGCATTATCGTGCAGGCATGACTCATGACGAAGACACTCTTATTCCTAACATTTTCAGATACATCATACCATGGGAAGCAGAATTCATTGACTCTCAGCGTGTGTGGACTGAATACTCTCAGAAACGTCAAGAGGCAAATCAACAAAACCGAAGATTGACACTAGAGGATCTTGAAGATAGTTGGGATCGTGGATTACCTCGTATCAACACTCTTTTCCAAAAGGATAGGAGCACTTTGAGTTTCGACAAAGGATTCCGCGCGCGTACCGAGTTCAAGACATACCAACTTATGAAGAGTAATCCATTCTGGTGGACTAGTCAACGTCATGATGGTAAATTGTGGAACCTTAACGCCTATCGTACCGATGTTATTCAAGCGCTCGGTGGTGTCGAAACAATTCTTGAACACACACTCTTCAAGGCGACAGCATTTCCATCCTGGGAGGGTCTATTCTGGGAAAAAGCGTGTCTTGCGTGGGACACGAGAGTCTTACGATACGATGGTAATGACGTCGTCGTTCAGGACGTTAAGGAAGGGGATCTACTTCTCGGTCCGGATGGTGAACCCCGTCGAGCCTTCAATATCGTCAGTGGCAAAGACAAGCTTTACCGAATCAAGTTTGGTTCACGTAAAGAAGACCTCGTTGTCACGGGAAACCATATTCTAGTCCTCCACCGGGAGAAAGGATACGGTAATGCCTATGACGGGACATCCGAGACTGGGAATGATAACGACGAGGGAGAAAACACACTGACTCTCCAGAAGTTCCAAAGTACCGCATCCCGAGACGTTTCCACCGCCGAATACTACGACACTGTTCTACTGACAGCAACCCAATTCGCAGCATTGGATGAAAACGAGAGATCTAAGCACAGGCTCTTTCGTTCTCCTGGATTCGAGTTGCCCGAGCAAGATGTCCCGGTCAACCCCTACTTTCTTGGTCTCTGGTTAGGAGATGGCAGCCATAGCTCAAGCACAATCTTCGGTAATCACGAGCATGAAGTTAGGGAGTTTATCATTTCTCACGCTGCGGAGCTAGACATTCACCTTGTTTGGCACGGGAACCTCTCGTATGCGACCGTTGGCAGGACTCGCATTGGTAACAGATCCTTGCCAAAAGCCGACATCGACGTCAATGATCATCCATCAAGACGCTATGCTCCTGAGGAACTTGTAGATGTCAATGATATGTCTAAAAATGAGGATGATAAGCTCGATACGGAACTCATCGAGACAATTAGCGACGACGAGGATGATATCACCGAGTACCAAGCCGTGAACGACGAAGAACCCAGCGACCGAACTGGGAATAGTAATCTCCCGGATGACTTTGTCTCTCAACGACGAGTCCATCGCCTGCAAAGTGGACGTCGAGCATACGGTGACTTGCAGCCTGAAGAGCAAGATCAGCTCCTGAGTCAGATAATCGACATGGTCGAATCTCCAGCCGGTTCGATCGATCCTTCGGCCGGCTGTAAAACAGGGGTTGATACCCTTCTACGTGCCCTCCAACAGCTTGGTGTATCTTGCAAAACTACTGGACCCGAGGCCGGCAAGAAGCACATCCCGTCGATTTACATGAAGAACACGCGTGAAGTTCGTCTCGCTGTTCTTGCTGGTCTGATCGATTCTGACGGCTGGTACGTGTATCCCGAGAATACGCTTGGGTTCGCTCTGAGCGAGACCTGCAATAAGACTCTCTTCTGGGACGTTGTTGCACTGGCAAGATCATTGGGTCTCAGCGTCTGGACCACGAAACGTATGAAGAGGGTTCCGAGCCGTTCACGAAGAACTCCTGAACTCGTAGCCCAGATATCTGGCAACGTGAAAGAAGTACCCTGTTTACTCCTGCGCAAGAAGGGATCTGAGCGCTATACTCCGCCAATGCACAGCTTCAAGATCGAAGACATCTCCCTTGAATCCGAGGCAACGAATTGGGCTGGGTTCCGAGTCGACAAAGACCAGCTATATCTCCGTCACGATTACCTTGTACTTCATAACAGCGGGTTTGAAGAGTCAGTAGCATCATTTCACCCCGAACTACATGCCGAATTTGGCTAACATTTGATTCCAGGTCGATGAAGTTTAAGAAATTGACAAACGCGCAAAGATCGGGTCTTAACCAGATTCCCAATCGTCGATTTACACTTTGGTGGTCACCTGTAAGTTACAACATTTCAATTCATGTCTTGTCTGAGAGGATATTTGATCGTCAAGTTCAGTTTGAGACATGAAACAGTATTCTCAAGCAAAATTTCTTTCACAATGTCTCGTTCATTTTGGAACATGAATACATTCTCAAGCAAAATGGTTTTACAATGTCCTATCCAATTCAAATTATTGAAAATATTCTCAAGCAATGTTTGCTTTACAATATCCTACACAATTTGGAACAACGAAAAGCCCTATGAGGCAAATTTCACTTTACAATGTCCTATTAACTTGAAACCATGAACACAAGCTGACTTTCGGTGTAAATTCAGACAATCAACAGAGCCAATGTTTATGTTGGTTTCCAAGTCCAATTAGATCTTACCGGAATTTTCTTGCACGGCAAAATTCCAACTTTGAAGATTTCTCTCATCCAAATCTTCCGTGCCCATCTTTGGCAGAAGTAAGTTCAATGAGTCCACCAATTTTATCTTCATCACTAACCTCGTCTTATAGAATACATGAGAGTGTAGTAATGGATCTGGCACAAGTATTTGATCAAGAATTGGAGCAGCTTGGCATCGAGACCGTACAGAAGGAGACTATTCATCCCAGAAAGTCTTACAAGATGAACAGCTCTTGTGCTGATATTCTGTTGTTCGCAAGCCACAAATGGAACGTCACTCGCCCCTCCATTCTGTTTGACACGAAAGACGTAATTGAAGCTACCACGACGAACAAGTTCTGGGTAGATGTTCAACTTCGTTACGGAGATTATGATTCTCACGACATTGAACGATACGTCCGCGCAAAATACCTTGATTATACAACCGATAGTATGAGTATTTATCCTTCAGCCACTGGTCTAATGATTGGTATCGATCTTGCTTACAATCTCTACTCGGCATATGGGCAATACTTCCCCGGTCTCAAGCAATTGGTACAGCAAGCTATGGCCAAAATCATGAAGGCAAATCCAGCTCTCTACGTCTTACGCGAACGTATCAGGAAGGGTCTTCAATTGTATGCGTCCGAAAGTAATCAAGAGTTTTTGAATTCTCAAAATTACTCTGAACTTTTCAGCAACCAAATTCAACTCTTCATCGACGACACAAATGTTTACCGTGTTACTATCCACAAGACATTTGAAGGTAACTTGACAACTAAACCAATCAACGGAGCAATTTTCATTTTCAACCCTCGTACTGGACAACTCTTCTTGAAGATTATTCATACAAGTGTCTGGGCAGGACAGAAACGTCTGGGACAATTAGCTAAGTGGAAGACTGCTGAAGAAGTTGCCGCTCTTATTCGATCATTGCCTATCGAAGAGCAACCGAAACAGCTCATCGTTACGAGAAAGGGTCTTCTTGATCCACTTGAGGTACATTTGCTCGACTTCCCCAATATATCAATCCGTGCCTCTGAGCTGCAATTACCCTTCCAAGCCGCCATGAAGGTCGAAAAGCTCGGTGATATGATTCTTCGTGCCACTGAACCTCAGATGGTTCTCTTCAATCTTTACGACGAATGGCTAAAGTCAATTTCATCGTACACTGCATTCTCTCGTTTGATCCTCATCTTGCGTGCTTTACACGTAAATCAGGATAAGACAAAGTTACTCCTTCGACCCGACAAGACTGTGATCACTCAAGAGCATCACATCTGGCCCACATTATCGGATGAAGATTGGATCAAGGTTGAAACCCAACTGCGTGATCTCATTTTGAATGATTACGGCAAGAAGAACAATGTCAACACTTCCAGTCTTACCAGTAGTGAAGTACGTGATATTATTTTGGGTATGGAAATCAGTGCTCCATCGATGCAACGCCAGCAAGCGGCCGAAATCGAAAAGCAACAACAAGAACAACAGCAGCTTACAGCTGTCACGACCAAGACCCAAAACGTTCACGGAGAGGATATTATTGTCACCACTACCTCGCAATTCGAACAACAAACCTTTGCATCGAAGACTGAATGGAGAACTAGAGCGATTGCAACTTCGAACTTGAGGACACGATCTAACAATATCTATATCTCTTCGGATGACATCAAAGAGGATGATCACTACACTTATATTATGCCAAAGAACATCTTGAAGCGCTTCATCACAATTGCGGATTTGCGAGTTCAAGTGGCTGGATATTTGTATGGTTCATCTCCCCCAGATAATGACCAAGTGAAGGAAATCCGCTGTATCGTAATGGTACCTCAAATTGGTAGTACACGCGATGTACAATTGCCTCAGCAGTTACCACAACACGAGTATCTAGACCAAATGGAACCTCTCGGAATTATTCACACCGTTTCTGGTAACGAACCGCCATATATGACAGCCATGGATGTCACCCAACATGCACGTCTCATGAATGCGCATAAATCATGGGACAAAAAGACGGTTACTATGACTGTTTCATTCACTCCCGGAAGTGTCTCACTAGCATCATGGGCGCTCACGCCTCATGGTTATAAATGGGGTGCGGAGAATAAAGATCTCGGTAGCGACCAACCACAAGGCTTCAGCACGAACATGGGAGAGAAATGTCAGCTTCTGCTTAGTGACAAGATCCGTGGATACTTCTTGGTACCCGAGACCAATTCATGGAACTATAGTTTTATGGGAAGTGCCTTTGGAAGCTTGGAGAAGAAGCCGATACATGTGAAGATCGATACGCCTACGCCTTTCTATAACGACCTTCACAGACCTTTGCATTTCCAGAACTTTGCTGAATTGGAGGACATTTGGGTTGACAATGAGGACAAGCTTGCTTAGATATAATGATATAGGGGGTTGGAAAAAAAAGAAGTAGAACAATACGGGAAGGAAGATTGGAACTGGGAGGATGAATTAATCAGCGTGCATCTGTATCAAATCGGGCTGGGCAACGGGCGTTTGATGCGAACACGCATTGTAACAATGTATTTTTTGTAGATGAATAATATAGTAGCGAAATGAAATGAATTTGATCATGCCACGATGATGTGTTGTTAATTTTGAACTTTCAAAAGCTCTGTGAATGTATCAGTTGTGGTATTGATATTCTATTGTTTCATTTTTCTTCGAATGTTGAAATCATTCTCAAGTTCAAAATGCTTTCAATACCTACCTAGGTGGATACTCGAAATGCTTTGAATGTGGGAATTATTTTGATTGTTCAAGAGGTTTTGAATATTCCAATTATTTTCAATGTTCAAATTGCTTTGATTGCTCAAAATGCACTGGATATTTAAATTGTTCTCGATGTTCGAATTAATATCAACGTTTAGATTGCTTTGGAACTTTAACTTGCTTTGGAACTTTAACTTGCCTTGAGTATTCAAATTGTTCTCAACATTCGAGATACTTTGAGTATTGAAATTAATATCAATGTTCAGATTACTCTTGGTATTTAAAATTATTATTTTCAATGTTCGAAGTTATTGATTATATGAAATGCTTTGAATGTTTAAATTGGTTCAAATGCTTGAAAGCTCAAATTGCTTGAAATGTTCAAATTGTTGCCAATACTCAAAGTTTCTTGGAATTCCAAATATCTCAAGATTCAACACTGGATGAATGTCCCATCTTTATCAGAGTTCCTGCCCTGGTAGGCAGTTGAACCACACCGTCTTTTAGCTTGCAACTCATATGATACAGCTGAACTCCATATCTTTCCTGTTCCATGTATGCGTCACAAATACGAAACCCACCCTTCACTCTTTGTGTATGCACTTTGCCAGGTCGACCATCTAGCGTCTACTGCCTGTTCACTTCCATACCGCCATCTCTAGAACCTGAAGTCTAGTCTAGTCGATGGTTACACAAGGCTCTCGTTTGACGTTCGCCTCCTTGCTGCTGCGCTTTTTACATATCACATGTATGATCGACAGTGGGTACGAATCACTGCTACGGTGCTACATCATCCCATCCATGCATTTCCTTGCAGTGAAAGATGTATTTATAGAACGGCGTGTCAAACGAGCCAAAGGTAAAACTTGCAATGGATGGATGCACAGCCAGATTCGAATGTGGAGGGAAAGATCATAGCAAAAGGTAGATGAGTAAGGGCTTACCTATCACAATATGACGATCCACCCACCAGGGCCACCACGCAAATCTTGGTTCGGGGTCTTTCGCTGGTTTGGGAATGTAAGGCTTGAGCCGACCGACCACTGATACGGGACCTGCAGGAAAATCTGTACCATTACACCTGTGATGGTCGTCGTAACATACATTTTACATCTGCCGTATGCACGCCAATCAATTAGCACCACCTTGCAAACGCTTTGTTATCGGTACTGGTATGTTTTCTCTTTGGGGGCAGTGGCAAGGTTACTTCTAACTTTGGACATCCATCCATCGGTTGGTTCATGAGGATTCAGTCAAGTACCGGTACTGTAGATGATAGATTATATGCCTACCTGGGACATACTACATACATCCCTTTCAGGTCATGCTGGTTGCTCTGTACAATTGGCAAACAGGAAGATGGTGAAAGGAGATACAAAGATTAAGTTTGAAGGACATAGAAATTTTGAATCAATACATGTACAGAGTATGTACTCAGCACAAACATGAGGTTAAGAGTGGCTCCTTCTTCGCTTTTCTCCGAAAGTGTAAATCAATACCTAGGCAATACGTCGAGTCTTTTAATGAAATCAAAATTAAACTTCTCTTCATTCTTTTCCTCTTCTTCCCTTTCTCTTTTCATCCAATTCCCACGGCCAATATATTCAGTCGGCACGCATTCCCCTTTCGTTTCGTTCCCTTGGATCCAATTGATCCATACCCTCAATTGATCGATCGGTGTAGTGTACCTAGAGACTGCGACCATACTGGAAGCATACGGGCAAAATAGTATCAGGAGAAGCAACAATCGACATCAGAAACCTTGTCACCATGGAAATGCGTACAGCTCTTCAATTACACATTCCCTCTTCGAGAAATCCAATACTCAGCTTGGTCCATATTAGTACTTCTCCCTTGCTCCGATCATTCATGCTGCCCTAGGGTTTTGAGCAAAGAAGTCGAAATCATGTCATTTGAATTATATTGCTTTTGTGAATGGGTTACAGACCCTGGTTGTCAACATCAATGCCTTAAGAAAGAAAGAAAAAAAGTGTAGGAGCGACAATGAAAAAAGCATAAACGGGCAAAGTTGCGAACAACTCCATCAATGTCACCAATCTGAGAGCTAAACAGGGCTGTAATGTCTCCATTCATGATTCGATTCGACTGCCCCCTGGGAACAAATACACGTTCGAGTCTGTTTTCCTTCAGCATCTAGAGGACATAGCTATGATCTCTCCATTCCACATTGAATGTCACTGCCGGCAGACAGACCAACCCAAAAGAAAATACCTACATTGCCTAGGGAGGTATGTTACATAGACACAACCTCAAATACGAAGATAAGTATAGAAATCTGCAAGGTGGATCGGGATCATCATTGGGATCATTGAAGAACCTTCTGACATTGTTCTTCAGCCTTCTTCGCTGGGGTTAAGGTTAAGAAACAGGGTCACTGTCGATAAGGCAGCCCAAGCCGGCCCATTCATCATTCCAATCCATGAACCGATTTGATTATCCTATTTGCTGGAATGGTAGCCTTTACGACTTCAAATCTCCGTTATTTGCTACCCATATACCCTCATCTCACGCGTCATTTCACGTTCTCATTGCTTTTTCAATGGGAATCATCCGATGAATGGATCAATGAGAAAATCTCCCACGACTTAAGTAAGTACGTACAAGGGGTAGGAAAAAAGGGGAATTCCCAGCGGTTGCTCTCGGAGATTTTATATTTATAGCCCTGGAATTTGATATGGAGAGGGATAGCGTGGATGTTAAATGGCTAAATGGTTAAATGTGACCTTCAAGCAGAAACGGGAATCTACAATTGGGGGATTGGGGATTGGGGATTGGGGATTGGGAACCACTCCCCGAGCCAGTGTTAGCTACTTAGGTATCTTCGTTGCCTACTCAAGGGTTAATGATCAGTCCCTATGCACCCTTACCACACCATTCGGCCAAAGGTCCTATTGAGCCTGACGATTCTTGCATGTCTACTCGAGTAAGGCAAAGAGGGTAAAGAGGCCACTTCGACAAATCAACGCATTATTTTGCCATTTAATTCATCTCCGTTCTTCAATCGTCATTATCCTATCACATCCTGCCTCGTTACTATTTTTAATCCCATAATCCCTGAGCATTAAAACAAATTTTGTTATTATTCATGCTTCGAACCCAGAAAGAGGGTCGCAGCGCCGGTGGAACATGGCCTTACTTCTCCACACTTCAATAGGGACGAGGACGAGGGGGTTTTTTTTACGTTGGCTCGGGAAGTAAAAGTTCATCCAGGAGTTAAGATGGTTGGGTGAAGTGGGCCTAAATCCCTGTTGTCCGGTTTCTTATTCTCGCCACAATTCCATTTCTTGTTTCAAAAGCTTCTATACTTCTTCCAGAGCTCTAATGCCCTGAGAACCCAACATTCTTCCCACGGTTGTCCACCTCCACTCTGCCTAACTTTCGATACCAAATCTTCTTGGCGGGTCTACTCATCACCCCCTTCCCTGTATGTCAAGATTGTCAAGCCTTCTTTGGATAACCATGCTTTGAGCGTTACAAGCATTGGCTCGGGATCTTCTCACCTTGGAACCCTAATTGGGAAGCCAGGCATAATAGAATTCCCATCTCCCCGGCAGAGAACGTTGCTAAAGTTCTGCCAACATGCATCATTTGCATTGCGCAACACGGAAGCTGTCTCGTTCGATGCGAATCGCTGGAACGCTTTGGTCATTTTAATTACTGCTACTGCCCGACGCCATTGATTTCTATGCAAGCTTTCCTTAAAAAGATCAGACGATAGATAAATGCAGATGCGCCCCCTCTGTCTCTGATATTTCTCCTTCCCTTTACCATCTCATCCACGGCTCTAATCTACAGCGGTTCATTCATACAATAAGTTGCCAAATAAGTTTGGAAACATTTTGGTCGCTGGGAAATTGCATATTACCAAGGTATGCATTATTCGGCTCTCACCTATATAACGGCATTATATAGATAAGTTTTCGAAACGCGCACAGCCGCATCTGCTTTGTAAACAACGGTCAACAAAACCACAACAAGCGTTCTGGAAACATAACGCGCTGCGGCAATACTTCAACACCTTTTAGAATTACCCCCAGCGACCTGCGAGAGCAGTTCGCTGTGGAGGAATCCATGTATGTCTGGCTATTCACGCCACAATCCAGGGCACGATCCTTATATCGATTATGCTGCTCAATCCGAAGAACAACCAGAGCGCGTTTATGGGTCGCATCACCCAGAGCTCCAGCAAGTTGGTGCGCAAAGTCTCGAATCCCTTCAACTTGGAGGGCATCATCAACATCAACAGCAACATCAACAGCAACAACAACAACATCACCACCACCATCAAGTATTGATAAATCCACACGGCATGGCCCATCACCAGTCTCCTCAATATGGAGGTGGGCAACACATCGGGTATATGGCTGCGCAAATACAACAGCCATCTAGTGCAGGGAAAAGGGCAAGAACTCATGACGATTTGGACATTGGGATGGGAAGGGTATCAGAAGGCCAAATGCATGGGCAGATGCAAAGCATGTCTTCACACATGGCTCAACAAACGATGGGTGGTTATGGTGGTGGACCTCAGGCTTTTCACAGTCATGCATTGCCTAACCAAGGACCTCGAGGCGCAAAAATTGCTCGTCTTGGCGAAGGACCAGATTTAGGTATCATGTCGCAAGGTGCACCTAGTGTCGTTGGTACTGCTGGAATGCCAATGCCTGCAGAAAGGCCGCGAGGTCCAAAGTTAAAGTTCACTCCCGAGGATGATCAGTTACTGGTCGATTTGAAAGAGAATAAGGCTTTGACTTGGAAGCAAATTGCAGAGTTCTTCCCAGGGCGCTCTTCAGGGACATTACAGGTCCGCTATTGCACAAAATTGAAGGCCAAGACAACTCAATGGACTGATGAGACGGTAAGATATTGGAATTTGGTCTTTTGAGAATCAATAATTGATTGAAACTTTCAGGTACAAAAACTTCGAACAGCGGTCCATGATTACGAACAAGAAAAATGGCGCATTGTGGCACAGAAAGTTGGGACCGGGTTTACATCTACGGCTTGCAAAGATAAATGGACTGAACTGGTAAGTTTCCTAAAATCAAGGTGCCCAATAGTCCAGACTTCAGTCCAGCATTCAGAGGTTTTGAATGCCTAAATTCAAATAAACTATTCCAATAGTTTGAGATGCCAAATCTATTTTGAATATCGTATTGCTTTTAAACATTGGGAAACTCTGATTATTGGACTGCAATCCAGACTATTTGGAACCCTGCCCAAAAGCAATGTCAAAAGCAAAAGTCCTTGGTTACCTAAGTTGGGTGGCATCATCATCATCATCAATGCGCTCGTCACAACCTAATATTCCTTTTCTTTTCAGCTTCAGTGATACAAACACACACAAGACTAACCAATTCTTCTCGCAACTTAGATGCACCCCGATGATTCCGAGTTACAATCACCAGAACCTGAAAATCTACCTGAAGATTCAGAATATTAACTTCACGCGGACCAATTTTTGTCAAGTTTCTTTTGCATCTCACCTACCTAGAAGCACAGACATTGCATACACAATACTTCCTCAGCCAGCATAGCCGACTAGACTACCGACGCGACTCAGATTTTGCATTCTATTTCCATTTGTTGCACCACACACATTTACACATACCCAGCATACCACATTTCCTATTTGAAAATCCGAAAGCAAGAAGTTCACAAACTAATACCAGATAAAAGTGGCTGGATCGCTTTTTGTCTCATTCGTCTATTTATTTATTTATTTATTGCGCATTCCTGGACTTTGATGGTCAACTACATTCCCATTTCCTTATATTCCGTTTTGAGGAAGGAAGATAAATAGGCAGGAAAGGAGGAGCACTTATTTACATGGAAACTTTCGAGATTCGAATGCACAAAAAAATACTGTTCATGATGGGAAATGGAAGAGGCGGGTGGGAGAGAAGGTGTAATGGTACAATGGGTGGGTGGGGTTACATAGGGTAGATGGTAGATGGTTGATGGTTGATGGTTGATGGGTGAGAGGGGTGAAACGAGGGAGCGAGGGAACGAGGGGGAGATGAGGAGGGCATTATCTTCTGAATGATTGACTGCTTATCATGTTGGACATGGTTTTTTTTTTTTTTTTTTTTTTTTTTTTTTTTACAAAGCTTCATATACCCCTTATTTTGATATGATAATGGATGATGGGCCGAGGCAGTGTTTTTGGATGGAATAATGGATTTTTGGGGGGGAACATACATACATATACATTTTAGTACAGAGTTTTTTTTTTTCGTTTTCATTGTGCGTTCTTTTTTTTTTCTTTTTTTTTTCGCGGGTTTGTTTTTGTTTTCTGTGATAGTGATGATGATGATGATGATGATGATGATGATGATGATGATGATGATGATGATGGTGATGATGATGATGGTGATGGTGATGGTAAAGAGGGGTGAACATTGAAGAGTATGTCATATTTGATCAATGTATGCATGGATGCATAAGCGGGGTTGTTTGTGTGAGAATTTAGAATTGGATTGTATGTAAGGGGGCGTATCATACATAGAGATGAGATGAGGTGAGAGGGGTGTGTGTGTGTGTGATAAAAGTGTGTATGTGTGTTTCTGATATAGTGATTGAAGAATCTAATTGTTTGGGATAGATAGGTGAGGGGTTTTGGTGGTGATTAGGTTCTTTTTTGGGGGGGGGGAGAGGGGAAGTAGTTTATTGTAGGTTTCGATTATGATTCGATTCTCTTTTACCTTTTTGTCTGAAAACAATTAGGTGGTATTATATTGTTGAAGTTTATTTAAATGGCTTTTTTATTTATTTTAATTGTGTTGTCTGAGGAGAGGGGAGGGGAGGGGAGGGGAGGTATGAATATAATATATAAATATTTATGATTTTGAAGGGGGATATTGAAGGAGGGGAAGGTGAATAGAGATAAATAAATTTAAAAAGCGAAGTATTACTTCGGTTTGATGATTTGATGAGTTGCTTGGATTGGATTTTGTTTCGAGATGAAACGATGAGAAGTTTATTATGAGATTTATTGTGAGATTTATTGTGAGATTTATTGTGAGATTTATTGTGAGATTTATTGTGAGATTTATTGTGAGATTTATTGTGAGATTTATTGTGAGATTTATTGTGAGATTTATTATGAGATTTATTTAATTTGAATTTATTTGATTTGAATCAATTTGATTTGAATCAATTTGATTTGAATCAATTTTTACTCTAATACTTAGAACCTTTTTTAATAGATAGACTATTTCTCTATACTCTATATTTCTATATGTATTCTTACTTTAATACTTCGTTAAAACGAGAGAGGGGGAAAATGAAATATAGAAGATTCCTCGCGAGTAAAAGAGCGGAATTATAATTAAATACTTATTCTTAATACTTATAATTGTATTTATTTATTTATTTATTTTGATTTCTTGTATTTTGAGTTGTATATAATATTAAGTTTGTAATATATTGAATTTATATATAATGTAGATGAACGAATGTATATGATCTAAAGGAATATATATAATGTAGATGTATAATATAGATGAATATGTATTATGTAGATAGATGAATATGTAGTTATATCTATTTATAATGTAGATTGATGTGTAATATGTAGATGAATATATATGTGATACGGCAGATGTAATACAGGTAGATGAATAGATGTGACACAGGCAGATAATATATATGTAACAGTAAGAGATGGGTGGGGCGTGTGGATAAGTGGGGGTAGTGGGGAAAAGTTGGGAGGCGAGGCGAGGAGAGAACGTTGGAGGCGAGGCGAGGAGAGGGAAAATCGGGACGCGAAGAGAAAGTTGGGAGGGGAATGGAGGATGGGGGTTTGAGAATTGGGGAATTGGGGAATTTGAGAATTTGGGGAATTTCGGAGTTTTGTTGGAGAGAGGGGAATGGGTGAGGGGATAAGATGGAATGTAGGTAGGTAAGTAACTGATTGAGGAAAGAGAGAGAGATGCTAAATTTTATCGTGGATTTGAAGAACAGGTTTTGGATGGTGGTGTTGGTGTTTTGATATGGAGTTGTGAATTCGTGGGTGGGTGAGATAGAAATTGATGTGACATGATATGGTATGGTATGGTATAATATACTATAATGTAATCTGGTATTGAGGTTTTGACTGATAGATGGGATGGGGGTAGGATTAGATTGAAGGTATCCGAATTTCTTTGGGGTTTTCTGGATTGTTGTATATATCTAGGGATGCATTCTTTTGTATCTAGATGGTTGTGATATTTATCTACTTATATCTTCCTGGTCGGGTTCTGGTTATGGAATAGAGTGTGAAAATGTGCGTGTGAGTTTGAGTTTGAGCACATCTTGTGAGGGAGTGTAAGGTGGTTTTACTTACGTGTTGGCATAGGTGGTGGTAGGTCTAGCTGGTATTCTCAATGTCTCAGCTTACTATGCTGTATATACAGTATGGCAATGAGGATGAGGATGATGCAGATTCCCGATTTATGTTTCAAGTTTCGTCAATTTTAAGTTCGGGATGATTCTTGAGATAGTAGAAGTATAACAGACAGATATCTGAGCGACAGCGAGTGATTTACTAATGAGAGCAACAAGACACACAACAAACTGGAGAAAATATTACAGAAATAAACCAGCTATCCAGGCTTACAAAAGACAAATGTCTAAGTCATCCTACTAGCAATATCTCGTAACATATGTTTGCCCATCCAAATCCATCACATTGACAAAGACATCCAAGACTCCCCTTACCTTCTCATCAACCAAAGGTCTCAATCTCGCTTTGAAAACAAGGAGATATTCACGCTCATATTCTGCGATTTCCATCAATACGCTTTTCCTCTTGCAGTTCCGTCGTTGTCTGCTTTTCCGTTGCATGAAAAGTCATTGAACTTCCGGCGCACTTTTCAACCTCGGGAAAATTGACGCTGTTGAGATTCTTTTCCGCCTTGTCGCGTGCCAACGAGTCATAATCGTTGTACATGCGACACATGACTGCAAGATGCCGACCCAGCTCTGTAGCAAGATACTTCGTGAGCGCGGGGAAAATGGTTCGTCTCCTCGTTCCGATTTCATTCGCGTGATATCCAGTCCCAAGAATAGGGACATGATGTGTGGACGGCGAAAATATTGCGTACCCAATCCCAGTAGGTTCTCGATGCTGGGGATGTGACGGAAGCATTGGCATCGTGTCCTGAAAGTTGTGCGAAGCGGAAATTGTCGGTTGAATGAGTGAGATGGGCGACTAGGAAGGCTTCCAATTGTTTACTTAAAAAAGCTAAAGATGATTCTGAAGCTTTTTGAATGGAAGGATGGTTCAGACGTGGGGTTTGAAGCGGATGCGAGTATTTCTTTCATTGTTTGTAGAGTCATCTGGTAAACCATCATCAGAGTTCACTGGTGTTATGACGCCACGATTTGTTGATGAATCTCCCTGACTCGATAGAGGATTGTTTCGAAGAGTTGTTTTGGAAAACAGGCCTCGAATTAATTGTTTCCCAGAGCTGTGATGTCCAGGTATAGCTTCCTTGAAATCGACTGCTTGATACTCTAACATTGAGATGACCATCATATCCAAAACCAGCTCGGTCTCAAGGAATATGCCCTTATTATTACAACCAGTCCACGGGAAAGGAATATATTCTAGATACTTATACTCTGCCATATTCTGGCAAGGGAAGAAATCCAAACGAATTCGACGTATTCGACGTATTCGTGGAAGAAAGAGACATCCTTCCATATTAGAAGCAGCAAGCTTCCATGAGCTGTCACTCGCGAAGAGAGGTATCACAGAAAAAAAACCCCCAGCAAACTTCGCAGCCCTATCAAAGGGAATGCCGAGGATTTTTGGAAGTGGTTTCCATTGTGCTGAGTTCGTAGGGTAATTCTTGCTTGGATGGGTCACTGCTGATCCGTAACTGACTTTTTCAACCCAGGTATAAGTGTCTTTATCTCAACTATCTCGGTGCTGATTCAAATAATTTCTTTGTTGTTTTGAGAGATGGCTTAAATCCTTCTATTGACAAGGAAGAGAAAAGATGCTGTCGATGATTATAGTGGCCACTTTCTATATATTTACTCGTCATTCGACCCACAATGCAACAGGGTCAGATACCTCGCGTAGGCAAGAAACCAGGACTCTTGGGCAACACATCCGATAGCCATTTCTTCAAACACAGCTTGGAGCTCATTGAAGAAGGGTATTCAAAGGTATAGGCTGATTGTTTGACTTTTATTTCCACATGTGTTTCTGACACGTGAATAGTATAAAGACTTTGTGCATTCATTATGGACGACAGATATGGATCGAGTCATTGTTTCTCGAAAGTTCATGAAAGATTTCAGTGTTCTCCCAGGAAAACAAGTGCGCCTCACTGCATCGGTTCGACACGCTGGTCCGTATACTGGCTTCGATATTGCGGAGGAAAGTGACCTGCAGTTCCTTGTTTGTGCAGGGCAACTATCTCAAAATTTAGGTATTGGATGCTAGATCTCATTAAGTTATGTATAACTCGCTTACAACTGAAAGGGCGTCTTGCTCAACCTACATACGATGAGATATCATTTAGAATAAACTCTAAAATTGAGAAGACCGAGAGCAAAGATGGTGAGTAGAGTTGATTTTTACGTACAAAATGTCCAGTGGTCAGCTTGGTTGACGGAATGCCAAGCAACTATAGCTTTCTGCTATTTGGTCTCGCTATTGAACTTGTTTCTAGCGTTAGTGCTCGTGCTTTTGTCGGGCCGGAGCTATGTAGAGATCCAGAATGGTTGGCTACCGCAACAGGCTATACTAAAGAGTGAGGCGAACATTGTCTTTCTCGCTTGCCTACTAAATAATGAAATCCATAGCTCCGAAAATGTAGCTACTGATCTCAAGAAGCACTATAGATTTTTCCACCCTATTATCGCTCCTTTCCTTAAATCCTATAAACAGATCCGCAATCGGTTTTCAGTGGCCTGCAAGCTTCTACTTCCACTCATACAAGAGCGCAGGTCAACTACCTCGAAAGAGCATCCGGATATGGTACAATGGCTAATCGACTCTGCTCGTGGACCTGATGCAGAAACAGACAAACTAGTAACACGAATGCTTTTTCTCAACGCAGCTGCGATACATACAGCAGCAGAGGTGGCGACGACCGCCATACTAGATCTCTGTGCTAGACCGGAGGACCTCGAAACTTTGAAGGGGGAATTGACAATGGTAACCAAAGAAGCTGAAGACACCGATATCACTATTCGGACGCTGTCGTCTCTTAAGAAGATGGATAGTTTCATAAAGGAATCGCATCGTGTAAATACACTTGGCTTAAGTATGACCACCAACCCAACTAGGGAAGTCGCAATATCTAACATGTATTTCTTGTCCAGTGACTTTCAATCGTCAACTTACGGCACCTGAACACTCTCAAATGGAGTGACTCTGCCCCAAAACACATATATCTCGATGACCCATTACCTCATCAACAAGGACCCCGAGATATACCCCTCCCCAAACACGTTTAACCCTTTAAGATTTTACACACAGCGGCAAAAACCAGGCCAAGAGGAGCGATACCAATTCTCTTCTTTGAGCTCAAAGAATCCGTCTTGGGGCGTAGGAAAGTTTGCTTGCCCGGGTCGTTTCTGGGCTAGTGCTCAAATCAAATTGTTGCTGATGGTTCTCTTAAATAAGTTTGAGATTGGCTATCCGGAGGGGCAAACGGAACGCCAACAGAATATTGTCAAAGGCGAAAGGAATCAAGTCAGTTCGAGTCAGCGAGTTATTTTGAGAAGAAAAAATTGAAAGGCTTGTGTCAGGATATCGATCATGTGATAATAGAGGGCATTGTATTAGCTAGCGAGGCACTAGCGCTTCCCTATACAAAGTACGAGCTTCCCATAGATAACAATGATATTGTGTGTGCATTGCACATAGAGCCTGTGGAAGATTGTGTTTGGGGGTGAGAGAACATGCTCCGCGTATCCTTATTCACTTTAATAGCTTTTGATTCTATATAGTTAGAGTTTTAGTCAATCAAAATCACTATAATGTATGATCAGTTGTTTGAGCTTGAATCGTTTCATGTGATTTTGAGACTCAGTCAAATTGTAGACCATGCCCTAGAACCCTTTCACTACTATATACTGTACTTCGTACTGACATAGTAATTTCAGGTATATCCCAGTCTGTTTGAGCTGTTGCTTCTTCAAGACGACCAATCCTGATGCATGCAAATTACTTTGCGAATGAATATGTTGGTATCGTGTAATTGATTGGATAGAACAAAGGATCTAAAGACAAAAGCGTGATCGTAGGATGCACACCTGATAAAAAAGATGTGATGATAATCAATCTCGACTTTCTACTTCGCAGATGGATACGTGTGGCGAGATGTAACTAGTACTAGGTACCTTCTGTTTACGTTTTTATTGTTAGCTTGTCTCATTTGTCTTTCATTGATGGCCAAGCATGGCATGATATCTATGGAGCGCGAGGTCGTGGACATTCCGAATTTTCCAAAAACCCCGCTTAATTCAGACCAGCTCCAAATGGAGTCTTCGAAATTTTGAATTCTTCGAGGATGATGACTCAAGGCGAAGGAAGATCTTGAATCATGCCTTCTCTCCAAGCGCTCTGAAGGCACAAGAGCCATTGTTACAAAAGTATACGGGCCTGTTGATACAAGAAGCTCGAGCACGAAAGTCCCTGTATTTGAGAGAACGGTATAATTTTACTACCTTTGATATTACGGCAAGTGTAATCTTCGTGTGGAATTGTGTGAGATTCTGACCATATAAAACATAGGGTAGTCGTTTGAATGTCTCGCCAAAGGAAAATATCATCGCTGGGTATCGTTCCTCTTTGCCCACCTTAAAGCATCATGTATTCTAGCCAGTATAACTTTTTAACCGGTAATTGATAAGATTTTATGGTGACGTACCCCAAACTCAGCCTTCAACGAACGTATTTATCATTTTTGCCGTAGTGTAGAATGGGTGCAAAAACGTCTCAATTTAGAGACTGGTCGCAATGACTTTATGTCATATATCGTTGGCGCTACTACGAAGAATACGATGGTCATGCTGGATATGGAAGCAACAACAGGAACATTGGTCATTGCAGGAAGTGAAACCACTTCGACAGTGCTACTTTCAACAACGAGACACCTAATGTTGCAACCTGAGAAGAAGGAAAAGTTGAGGAAAGAGATTAGAGAGACGTTCTCGGATGAGTCTGAGGTTACACTGAAAGCTCTCAAGAACCTCCCTCATCTCACAGCCGTATTCCAAGAACACTTTCGATGTACTCCGCCAGTGCCATGCTCTATACCGCCAACTGTTCCAGACGGTGGTGACAAAATTGCTGGAGATGTGGATCCAGGAGGCGTAAGTTCAGTTCCGTCTTTAACATCCTCTAACAAATTGAAACACAACTAATTCCTCCATCTCTTTGAAGACATTCGTCGGAATTCCTCAAATCGCTGCATATCGCTATCCTGATCATTTTGCCCATGCCGATCACTTCATACTGGAGCGCTGGCTATCATCAACCTCATTTCCTCTATTCGAACCGACTACCTACAATCCATACTTCGACAAAGAAACCCTCAAAGATTATAACTTCAAGATTGTGTAGCCGTTTAGTGTTGGACCACGAAACTGCATTGCGCAGGTTTTAGCTCATGCCGAGACGAAACTCATACTAGGCCGTTTGTCGTGGAATTTCGATTTCTGCATTCCGGAGGGAAGGGAAGGAGAAGATTGTTACAAGAATTTGTGGGCGAAGCAAAAGATACATGGCTTGTGGGTTAAGGAACCGTACGTTTTAGAAATGGTTCTTGTCGTGAGATCATTTTCAGTTCATATCCTAATCTATCTCAAAGCGGGCCGGCAAACTATTCCCCCGAATAAATTTCATTCACCAAATGAGATTTCGTCCATTTCTGCAAACTTTCACACGTCGCTGTTGTTGATATCGAAGCCTGGGAGTTATTTGCTAACACATCCGGTTCCTGGAGAAATTCAGTGAATGAAACATAGAGGCCATGGATTAGTTTCCAAGTTAAGGCACGCGCCAATACATTCATCAATAGCCTAGTTGAGACATGCCTAGCGAGAAACAACTATTTTCTCTGTTCATTATTTCAAGAAAAACACGTGAAATAGAAAGACGAGTTGCGAGATTTTGTAAGATTTTGTGAAAAGAGTACCTTCGAACTATTGGCCTATAGATACTTTGGAGAACCTCTATCAAAAGATAAACCCTTAGACTTTCTCATGTAGAGCAAAATGAGATCTATCCAGATTGTTGATGATATAGAATGTGAGAAATTCTAAAAAGGCTTGACCAACTATATTGATGGACTTTGGTGAAAAAACTTACAACGCTCAAGAGCTTCTGGGTGACGATTTAACTCCAGAGGATTATGCCTTCACATGGAAGTAACAAATCAGCGTTTTGTTCAATGAAATACAGAGACAAGTGCCAATAGTAATGTGGCTACAAGATCTTGCAATGGATATAAATGAAAAGCTAGATGAGTTCACCTCACCGGCCTCTCAGACCTTGAAGACTACTAGATACTTTTGAGCATTAGGAAGCAGTTCCATATACTATCTGAAGCTTCTTTAATCTGCAAAAAGAAAGGTGCGAAAGGAAGAGAATTGAAGAGGGAAAGTAATTCTCTATTAGAAAAGTCATGGCTGGTGGCTTTCACACAGCAATTCAAAGTCTCATTCCCATCACCACCAATCCCCACCTTCCCATTTGATTACACCACACACGTGATCTCAATACCTCTCATCTCATTTGTGTATCTACAGCCTAGCTTACTAATCTCACCCACTAGCGGCTCATTCCAAGCAACATCACGAAATCTCCAAAAATACCTACAAATCGTACCATTACCGCATCTCCAATTGACACACCCGCCATGTTTCTCCAACGCTCAGCCATTGCTGCTGCTCGCAGAGCAGCCGTCTCTCCCGTCGTGAGACGCAGCTTCTCGTCTAGCATCATCAGAAGTATGTGTATCCTCATTTGTTGTATCCCGAAAACTATTCGACCTCGGGTACCGCAGATCCTGGGTTTGAAGCTTGAGAAAAAGCAGGACTGCTGGAGGATGATTCGAGAGACTCACAGACTAATTGTTATGTGTAGGAGAAGTCGCACCACCGGCCGGATCGAGCGACCGAAAGATTAAGAAGTTCGAAGGTGTGTTTATTCGCGAAGCCGGGGCGCGGGAGAATGGGGAAGGAAAGATGGGGGACAAATGGACTGATATATAATGCGCACCACGTGTAGAAATTAAGAGCGAGGCCGATCTCATCGGTCCCGGTGCCGCGCCAGGAACCATCCCTACCGATCTCGACCAAGCGACTGGTCTCGAGCGTCTTGAGATCTTGGGAAAGATGCAGGGAGTTGATATTTTTGACATGAAGCCTTTGGATGCTTCCCGAAAAGGTACGCTTGCGTGGGTCTCTTAGGAGGAGTGTCAGGCTTGGATTCTTATGTATGAGGTTTGGGAAGTGAGATGAACAGAACAGATGGGATGAAAACAGAAGGGATTTGCTAATCGACGAGGATTGTATAGGAACGTTGGATAACCCAATCATTGTCAAGTCTTTCGGTGATGAACAATATGCCGGCTGTACTGGATACCCAGTTGACTCGCACGTTACTATCTGGCTTATAGTATGCCTAACAAACCCTTTATTTCTTCTTTCCACATGCCACCTTCAAGTACTAAATCTTCTACAGATGTCCCGCGACCGTCCCGTCGAGCGTTGCCCAGAGTGCGGAAATGTTTTGAAGATGGAATATGTTGGTCCACAAGAAGATGCTCACGACCACCACCACGACCACCACGATGATGGACACCACAACTACGAAGAGCCAAAGACATTTGCTGATTTCGTTAAACCGGAATACAGATAAAGGGAAGGGGAAGGGGTTTCGGGTGCGTTGACAATGCTAGACGAGGGTAGGATTGTAGAATAGTAGAGCGCGAAGTTGACATGTTCTCATAACCTTTCACTAGTCGTGCTCGATTTGATTACATGCAGGGTGCGCTTTCATGATCCATTTTCAATACCTAAAAGTTTCAATTTTGAACTGCCCACTTTCATTCTCATTCGATTATTTTGTTTGTTGTGGAATTGCTCCAAGATTTCTATGTAAAGCACAAATTTTCCGTGTCATTTTGTCCACCCCCCATCCTTTTTTGAAGCGAACCAAAACCCACGAATTTCCAGCAAACTAGCTCCAAGCTCACACATTTCCATCTCCATATCGCAAGCTAGCCCTTTACTGAGCTCAAATTTATAACCCGGGTGATGAATAAAAAAAAAGACAAAAAACCCAAGCGCTAACCTCCAAACATGCTTTCATTTTATGCTTGAGTCGTGAATCATCGTCGCTGTGCATATGCATTATAAACAGCTGAGCGGCAAATGCAGAATTTTGCAAGTTGTGTAAGGGGTATTGTGAATGAACCCGTGAATTAATCAAGGGCAAAAAAAACTCAACGATACTCAATGATAAGAAGCACACCAATTCATTTCACGCTGAAGTGAAATGGAAGGGGCCTCTATGCCACCAGTTCCTTAAATTTGTAACGGCGGCCGCTGAGAGAGATATATAGTAGAAGAATGTCTTCGTATTAGTTTGAGGCAATTGGAAAGACATTCGAATTGAGGCCTCAAGATCAGAATGTCATTGTTCGATTGACTGTTGTATGTCCTTAGTCAGATGGATTTTGCTTCCTTGAGGGTGGCCTCGAACCGCCACTTTTGTCGGCACTCTTATTTCCGTCAAATTTGTCGTTTCCTGTTTGCTTTTCCTCATCTGATTTGGGCCCATCCGTATCTGAACTAGAACTAGATTTAGAACTAGAACTGTCGTCATTGATTCGACTCTCCGGAGTACGAGCAAGAGCTCTTGTCGCTTCCACTTTAGCGACATGATTTATATCACTGTGGTGATCTGCCTCATATTCGCTCACTTCCGCATTGCCCCCTTTGACCTTGCTAGAGTGACTAGGAGTCTGAATGGAAGCTGCTTCACTGAGAGCTCTAGCTCTAGCTACCATCTCGGATGCTTTCTCAGCTGCCCTTTCGGCTCTGATTTGCTTCTTCCACATCTGCGCATATCGACCTTTCTTGAGTAACAGTTCACTATGGGTTCCAGCTTCAGCAACTCGTCCAGCATGAAGAACCAATATTTGATCTGCATTAGTAATAGTGGACAATCGATGGCTATAGTTATAAAAATTAGCGAGATGCGAATTAAAAGTGATCGGAATTCTTACGCAATGACTAGCATGGTACGGCCTTCGGACAAGGTCTTTAATGCTTCTTGGATGTGCTGTTCAGTATCAGAATCTAATGCAGCTGTAGCTTCATCAAGCATGATGATTCGAGGATTTTTGATAATTGTTCGTGCTATGGCGACTCGTTGCTTCTCACCACCACTGAGACGAAGACCTCGCTCACCAACTTTCGTATCGTAACCATCCGGAAATGCAAGTATCTTGTCATGAATCGAGGCAGCTCGGCAGGCATTGTAAATATCTTCATCCGTCGCGTCTTGGTTGGCATACCGAAGGTTATACATAAGAGTCTCATTGAAGAGAATTGTATCCTGTGGTACAACACCAATGTGATGTCTTAGCGAGTCTATGGTGACATCTTTGATGTCGTGGCCATCTAATTGAATACTACCATTTTGAGTATTGTAAAATCGGAAGAGGAGCCGGAAGACAGTGGATTTTCCTCCCCCGGACTCTCCCACAAATGCTGTAGTGGTGCCTGGTTTGCAAGTAAAACTCAAGTCCTCTAGTGCAGGCTTACGGGTATCATAAGAGAATTTAACATGATTAAAGTCGATTTGGCCCTCGCATGCTGGGAGTGGCTTCGCACTTGGCTCATCAATAACAGTAGGCTCTTCTTTGAATAATTCAAGGAGACGCTCGCCACTGATCATAGCGCTCTGGACTCCCCGATAGAAAGAACCAAAGAAATTCAGAGGTTGTTGAAGTTGGCCCATATATGTGATGAGAGTCACAAACTGTCCCACTTGACGTTTACCAGTTGTGACTTGGTATGCAGCGATAAAAGAAGTTACAAGAAGTCCAGCCATGAAGACCAAGTTTTGACTAATGTTGAGGATGTTCAAAGAAATGGTCACTTTGAATTCCATCTTCTGAAAAGCCGAAACCGCTTGTCGGTAACGATCAAATTCATAGGTTTCAGCGTTGAAGTATTTAACAGTCTCGTAAGACGTCAAAGAATCATTCTTGACAGCATCCTCCTCACGGCTGAGGTTCTGCATTTGTCGACGTTGGTCGGAACGCCATCTTGCCATCCGAATGGTAAGATAAAGATAGGAAAAGGTGATGATGCTAACCACGAGAGCGTAGTATGCGTCAAAGGCATATGCGAAATAACCGATGGCAACTCCAAGATCGAATATCATTGGAAGAACCTGAAACGTCACTTGCTCTAGGAAATTGTTGATGGCGTTTCCCTTACTAAGTGCTGACAGGACTTCTCCAGTGCGCTTTCCGAGATGGAAATCCAAACTCAGACCATGTACATGCTCAAATGAGGCTGTGGTCAAGGCCTTGTATGAATACTGAGAAATTGGAATCCACAGAACCGATCTAGCGGCCCCTAGGATTCCAGAAGATCCTTGAAGAAACTTGAAAGCAATGAGAAGAGAAATGGACAGCCATGGCATTGTAACCTCTTGATCATCATCGCCAGTAAGTGCGTCAGTAACCCTTCCGACTTGCAAAGGAACTGCGATGTTCACTATCCGCTGCATGACGACAAGAAGGAAGCAAACAACAACTACTATTTGCAAGCGAACGGATCTAGCTGGCCAGAGGTACGGAAAGAAGAGTGAATATCCCTTCAAATACTCCCACCAGGTTTTTGTTGTAGCTGTTGTAGGTTTATAAAACGCAGGCACTTCGTCCACACGCTGCTGACCAATTAGTCTTCCTTGAATATCAACGCCCTGTGCTGCAGAACCATTCGCAGTCGCGTGTCCATTCAACGATAAGGAGTCGGAAGCAGACGCATTTGCAATTGAGCCATTTCCAGAGACATGGCCGTTTCCATTCGCTCTGCCATTGAAAAGAAGGGGACTGTTCTCATCAGGCTCACTGCTGCTCTGCCGGCTTCTATTTTTGCCTTTGATTGAACGTTCCAAAGTGAAGATGCAATAAAAAGCTACACAGAAGAAAAGTAGAACTACCCGAATTGCATCGAGTACCAGCTCAACAATTTCCCATTGAGTCGCGTATTTGTGAAAGTCCGGGTTGAAGTTAAAAAGCGAGTTGACTTCCCGGTGAGCTGAGGTATATAAAGATAGCGAAGCGGCAAGAAGTACAATCTCACCGACCAGCGCAACTAACCATGTAACCTGATGTGCAATCGAAGGTGAGGGTGTTGTGTCGACCAACGAAATGAGGAAGACACTATAGAAAAAAAGAGAGGCGCAAACGTATATCTGCATGAAACAATGATCAGTATCTACTTCATCCAAAATGCTAAGTCGAAAAAGTGAATGCTCACAGCAGTTGCTTCGCCACACCACCAACCATTCTCCCGTTTATCAAGAGCGTGTACGACGATGTTGATCGCATTGCCGAGAAACGTTACTAGAATGCCAGCTGAAAGCCAAAGAAATAACAATTTCTGAACGGGAGTGAAATCCTGCAGCTTAAGCTTATCCTTATCTTGTTTTGTCCTCCTAGCAGACCGCGGTAAAGGTTTTCCCCCAGGACCTGTGAGCATCGGTCCAGTCTCGTCGGAAGATTCCGCAGTTAGAATGCTGTGTGTGATGAATGATATAAGAAAGACGACTAGAAGAACCCATGGGTAATTGAAGTGCGTGAGGTTCAATACTGTCGCTGTGGTATAAGTACCATTCCCATTTGAATACATACTGGAGCTTGAGCTCAAGTATTCATCGACACCCGCCATTACAAGTTATGTTATGTTTGAAAGACTTCCCCTTCCTTCCTTCCTTCCCTCATCAGTATACCGGATTTGAAAGCGATCGTGGACGGCTCATGACCCTTTCGATTGGGCGAGCTTTAATTTTGGGGAGGGGGGAAGTTTGTATCTCGAGGGAGCGCGATGTCAAAGTAGCTGTGGCTGGCTGTGTGGCGATACCGAGGTGTGAAACGATTGAAATTGGACTTGGTACCTAAAAGGGAATTAAAAGAGGAATGATCAGCGAGAGAAGTTCGAGTTAAAGTAATTCATCTGCGATTTGCGGTGTAACCAACAAACGCAGTTGTCGAGTTTAGAAGAAGATGGATGGGCTTCAACAAATAGTAGATGTGATTGTGGAGTTGTAAATAAGTGATGGTGGCGGAGATGATGGTGGGGAATCTTCACTCAAAAAAATACTTTAAATAGTTTCGTGTACTAACTTAAATACTGAATACCTACTTTGTGTGTTGGACCATAAAGTGAGGATCAAAAGTAGGTGAAGAAGACGAGAAGATGAGGGAGGAAGAGGAATGGGAATGGGAAGAGAAAGGAGACGAGGTAGAGGAGGGAAAGAGGAAGAGGAAGATGGTTTTTGTAAATGTATTGAGACGAACAAGAGTGTAGAGTCAGTCTGTTGGCAGTAGTAATAGGACTGGAAGTAGAACTTGGAGTAGAACCAGACGTAGAAGTAGAAGTAGAAGTAGAAGAAGACTGATGAGATGAGATGAATTATACAAGAGTAGTAAAGTAGTGAATTATCAGTATGTGACAACTTGTTGGAAGGTCAAGCAAGATATCAGGTACTAATATGTATGGTATGGTATGGTATAGTATGGTATGGTATGGTATGTATGTATGTAGTATGTATGTATTGTAATTCTGTGGCTTTTTGAATGTAGAAATTTATCATGAGAAAAGTGTAAGAGACATGAATTTCCAACGTATGAGTTGAGTGAGTGCGAGTGTGAGAATGAGAATGAGGGTAGGTAGGTAGGTAATTCTGATGGTGGTTGATACTTTGTATCGGGGAAGGGGCGGTGTTGTTGATCTAAATAGACAAAGTTCAAAGAAATATAAACATTTTTTTATCTTACCTTTGGCTCTTGCACTTTCGAAACCCTTTATACTCTCTTTGAACTTCCTTCCACTCTGAGTAAAAATCAACTTCTCAATGTACCCTTCTCAACAAGTTGTAAGTTGTCTGGCTGGCTGTCTTTCTCAATGCTTCTTGGCTGGCTTTTATATCCCAGATCATGAATCAATCAAATCTTCTCAACTTGTTTTTGATCGATCCAATGATTGAGACCCGGATACCTGTCTTCGGGAGTGTGATTGCCGACAACAGATGCGCCAGGTTCGGTGCAAAGGTATGGGTGCAGGTGGAAGTGTAGGTGTAAGTACGTAGGTAGACGTGTGAGTGGTGAAAGGATGTGCAGGGACTTGGATGAAGAGGCACATGCAACATATAAAAATAAAATAAAGCCAAAGCCAGAGCCAGAGCCAGAGCCAGAGCCTAAGCCTTGAATATTTGGTATGCTATGTCAATCAACAATAAAGTCTAACTTGGACGAAAGAAGAAGGAAAATAAAATAAAAGGGCGATTCAGTCCTTCGAGTTTTCCCTGATCGATTTAAGCTTTGTTTGGTATGTTCACTGATTGGGTAAGGGGAGAGGGAGGGGGTGAAGGGGTGGAAGGGGTGGAAATTTCTTATATTGCGATGCAGTCAGTGAATGGAGTTGGGTACTGATCTATGGTGAAGAGGTATGTGAATGTGATTGTTCTTGTGGGTATGATGTTGCTGTACTAATAATAAACCACGTAGGTAGGTGGGTGGGTAGGTATAGTACGTATAGTACGTAGGGTAGCGGTTGCGTAGGTGCGGTAAGAATGTACGGAGTACAATATACAATACCAAATATAATCTCCTTTAGACTTTCGAGTTCCGCTTCTTTTTGGCTTGTTTCTGTTTCTTCTCGTATTTTCATCTCTGTCGCTTGTTTCGTGCTATGCTTCTAATGGTTGATGAATCATGAGAGCCTCCTCATTTCTTTGACCGCCAGCAGAGCACAGGCATGGTATTCAATCAAGGCATAGTGTGCTTCGGATCCAAATCAATTAGAGCATCGGTACCGGTATGATGTCCACCAATGGGGGGTTGGGAGGTGCTGTGGGAACTGGCTTAATGAAGGTTCCTATGCGCTTTGGATATGCTCCATCAAATGTTCAAAGAGGAAAAGTTTCCTGAACGATGAAGGTTGGGTTGGGACTTGGAAGATTGGAAGACAATGGAAGTAGAGCTAGGAGACAGGCTAAAATTCACTCCACATGGACTCAAGTATTATACACTGCATAATTCGCCTACCTACCATTCCTCTCAAGGATGCAACCCATACATCATCAATTGTGAAAGTATGCAATATATGTATCATGCACCGATATATGTAGTCGACGACTCGTGTAACAGATACGAATGGTCGAGATGTTCTTACTATTTGCCCAGATATATGGGCTGAAACTACGAGGTACTCGGTATTTCGCTACTTCGCAAGCGTTCTTGGACCCTGATAACAATTGAGATAGAAGGGGTTTAATTGTGGAAAGAAGAACAAGCAGTAATGTTTCATTAGGTTGGGCTTTAAACTTTCCTACTTCATGAATATGGGGGCTATCAGCTTCATATTATAAGGGGCCGACAACGTTACGGAAGCATTCATTAGTTACATAGGTACTTTGTACACCAACGCTATGATGAAGCAAAGTCTCGGTAAGTCTCGGCAAGTACTCTGGCCTCCCCATCTGTTTCGTTGTTTGATTGTCTTACAGTGATACAAGAGTACGAACTTCAAAACCAATTCTAATCTATACACTGTAAGTCTATCTGCAAATTGTAAGTTGTGTCTGATTCCGTCTAATTATGTCTACTAAATTGCAACTTACAGGTGACATCTACAGTCTACCGTCCACTGCCCAAGGATATTCTCCATCCCTACCAATTTCTCTACCGGTAATATCAAATCACCCCCCCCCACCCCCCAGTATGGATGAGGCCTAGACCTCTACGATCGAATGGCACCACAATTGGCACACAACCCGAAGCCACAGAGGTCTAAGCGTTCATCTACTTATCCTCAAGCTCCCAAATTTTTCTTACTCTGTAGGAAAACCCCACTTCATCCCTGACACTAGAATTTCCGCTAAAGTACTCGAGAATGAATCAGGATCGACTGCATGTCAGATACTAGGTTACTGACACGTGGTAGGTCATGGCCTAGAAGTATCCATGTACTGCTGAGAGTGGAGTAATTCTACATTGGTATCTACATGTTGCCGGTTTACTTAAAGTCTTCGGGAAGTAACGGTGTAATCTATAATCGATGTATAATATCTATCAGGCCCAGGTAGTTGTTATTGTACGGACGACCACACGGTTACTACTCTGCTATGCTACTGTAGAATACACCTTCAATGTCTATGCGATTCTTCAAGCCTACTTATCCAGCCGGGGAAACGAAGCCGTGAACAGCACGATAATTTATATCCAAAGAAAGTACTGTCAGATCCGAGTCATACATGTGAATATCTGCATCTTTCAGGCATTAAGCATCGATATCGCACATATGTATTACTGTCAAAGTACGGCACCGCACAGGACAGTGATGAGTCTGGTAGCGAATTTCGATCTGGCTGACGGCAACGCCCTCTCCGAACAATGGCGTTCTATACCCCTCATCGCCACTCGCCAAAGCACCAAAGAGATGGCCGGCATCTCCTTATGTACTCTCGTACCTCTTTTCATTGCCAATATGTCAAGAGACTATGATTTCGATATGATGCATTCGTTACTGCCGTCGGGCAGAGATCATACATATCACACATCTTCGCGGAATTGGGCAGAGCTGCCGTGACACTCGGGCCGACCGCGCAGATGCGTAACAATTTACAGATACATGTTCTAATCCATCAACTTACATCACATACAGTACTTTAATAATATATGGATACATGGATACCCTCCAATAATGCGAGTGGAGGTGTGATTGTGATTGTCAACAAACCTTCCCTGGACCTAGAGTAATCAATAACGAACGGCATGCCACTTTACCTCAGGTTTGATCGAGATTGGCGGTGAGGGAGACGTTCAGAGGCTTTTGAAATGACCGAGTAGAGATGGTGTGAGTGGACTTTCCTCGCTAGGTTTCTTTTTCCTTCTTTTAACTTCATGTACAATGTTATCATTTCGAGTGTGCTAGACGATATACCTTGAAAAGTATCTAAGCGGTGCTAGGTATACTTCGTCTAGCCGGAGTCATATGTTATCTTCGAGAAGAAAGGAAGACTATTGTGGGGTACGGGAAAATAATATCGTTTCCCATTAGCCACGGTATGCCTGCTACCTCACATATATCGTCTATTTTATTTGCAACAACGAACCGGTGAACTAAATGTTTACTTTTCACGACTCACGAGTGCTCAAGCTCAAAGTCCATCTATCTCGTAAGTATGAGGTAAAGATAGGGGAGGGGTTTCGAAACAAGGCGAGTGAGGATCAATCCTTTTCTAAAGCCATCTTTCGGCTGGCTCTACCTCGCCGATTTCTGGTCGGAGAAAGACAACTTTCATCCGGCGATCATCGTGTGATCAATGTATGATGATGATCACACTTGATCAAGAGATCGGATCGGATCAATTGATCTTTCATCATTATACATGTTCCTCGTCTTGTCGGCTTTGCCGCTCACTCATATGCTAGCGGCTGGCCATCCCTCTTGCATTTCCGTCGCTATTACATTTTCAACACATGCTTCTGGACAGAAACCTATCCTTTCTGAAGAATTGGGCTTTTCTCTTAAACATGAGTATCCTAGTTATAAAGAATGCCTTCAAGAGGAATAGTTCATAATCAGTTGATTCTAGGTCTTCGTAGGCCCATAATCCCTACCTCTACCATGGTCGAACTTGTCCTTCGAGTCTGACAGGTCGAAATATCGCAGGATATCTGCATCAAATATTCCATTGCGACGCGTTCTTTGTTTGATTTGTACTCCCAATAGACCCCAATGCGAAGTTGTTGAAACAATTGCAGAACTCCATTTGACGAGAGCGTGTAAGATCTCCCAATGCATTACAAATTTTTCTTCAGGAACATCTTCTGCTGCATACAGCTCCAAATGTTACCGTAAACTCCACACCTTTTCACAGCGCTCCATGCTGACATCAGCGCATACATATTACGAAGCCCCCATCCTCCCCGCGAGCTACAAATTTCCGCGATCTGTCCCTGCATATATGACAGTCTCGCATCCGCATTCCTTACCATACATGAAAGGAGATGAGGAGAAGGTTACTTTGCTGCACGAAATATTGTAATGACAGTTCGTATAAACCCAGAGATCGGGCATGACAATACCCAGTTTGAGAAGCCGACCGAAAGCCAAAGGCCTCCCAATATTCAAATAGGGCTCAACAATTGAGGAAACCTCATCGTTAATGGCTCTTGAAATTGCCAAGCTACCGACATATAGTTTGCGCGCCATGCATATAAATTACACTTTATTTTTGCCCGAGGACCAGTACCACAATTCCAGGCCCCACGGTTCACACTGCACAGAGAAAGTATTGCAAGAAAGAGGCATAGCACACGACATCTTGGCCAACCGTTGCAATCCTTCCAGCTACCCGGCGAATTGCCGATACTCATACTCCTCTCGTACGACATCTGAATGACTCGGGTAGCACGAGGAAAGTTACACCAGGGATCGCGAAACGACTTGCATGGTTATTTCGCAAAGCAACGCCAGAAACCGCTAAAACTTTCACTTCGGTGTTCCCATGTACTTTATCTTGTGGGACTGCCTCGAGAGCTATCCATGCAAGCATGTCATCTCGACAGAAGCCACAATATCGTTTCATAACTCTCAGAGTCCTGTCATATTCTCTCGTGTCCTCCACGTTGATGTTCGCTCATTCATGATGTCCTCTCATATCAGTCATCACTCGAGTCTTCTCACACGTCGTTGCAAAGTCTTCCTTCGCTTGCTAGATGCAGAGAAACCGCCTGAGTGTACAAGTGCGATCAAACCCATAAAGCCTTTTCTTACAATTGTGATATCTTTACCGCCGTTTCAAACTTTTGCGGGGTTTGCAAGTTTTGCGAGTTTTGCATTCAGCTGCAGCGTTCGAAGTTTGGTGAAAGGTTGAGCCGCATAGCAATGCAAAAAGTCGTAGCTTCGACAATTAGATGCATGGAAAGTCTCCGAACATCTAGATCGTCGTGGCGAGGAAGACTGAGGAACACTTCATTGTAGTGTAATGAACGATTCCTTGATGCTTTTGGAGACTTGGGCTTTCGAAAGGAGTGTTGTGAACATTGAAACTGTTTAGCCATGCTTCAATTCGCTTCGATTTTCTCTTTTCATAGTGAAAGGTGTAGTCTTGAAATCTATCATTAATGATCATCGGATATAATAGCACATGTAAACTAAAAGATCTAACATCAAGAGATTTAAGATACACAATCCACGATACACACTGCCTATCGGATGAAAAGTTGAGTGTACTCAAAGTTTGTAAAGAAAAGTCAATCTGGAATATCAAATCTTTGCGCGTGACATCACCATATATCACTCTTGTTCCCATCATCATTCTCATAGTCAAAGGTACATATCCTCTCCCCACCATTGTCTATCTCATTCCGCTCCACCCTCGCCAGTGTATACCTTTCCCACCGTGAAACCCTCAATTCATGAACACAAGCTTGAAGTTAGACCTCAAGATGTTCAACATTGTACTTGATCATGAGCAATTAGAAGCGAGACATGATCCACGAAAGGACCCATCCGGCCATGCGCTGAGACGTGAGTAATTTCTAATCTTTGGTGGATTCAGAGCGGACTTGAGAAGTTCTCATAAGGGCTTTATACTAAGAGAGAAAAGAATCAGTACTCATGATCCGCTGATTCTCCTTTACATCTCCCATCTCATTACCTGATTCGTGACATTCCTACCATTCATCTCCTTCCCGCATCTATCATCGGGTATGTATAAGAATTAACATCATAGCCATCCAATAGAAACCTCTTACTATTGTTTTTCAGACTTGGGTTCTCAACTCAAGCATGGCTTGATTATACTATTGTCGAGATGATATGGACGATGTGATTCGCCTCATTTACGCTTTAACCTGGCAAGTAATCAAATATACCCACCTACATACATAAATTTATAATGAAACTCACCACCATTACAATAAGAACATTGAGTTCGCTTGAGAATATCAGCTATGTCTATATAGATTACACCAGGCATGAAGATCTGGTATCATACTCATACATCACTTCCATATATTCTACCTACCTATGTATCTATCTCACTATGACCTAAATGACAATCCCCTTCCCTACCTACCATTCATTCTCCCAGAAACTCACCCGAAAATAAATTGAGAAGCACAAATTCTACAAAGCGAGTCTATTTGGATTTCCCGTAAAGGTATCTTTATATTGATACTACCTATCAATGTGCATTCTTTCCTCTCTCCTCGACTCACCTCACCTCACTCACAACAACCGAATACCTGAATACACCATCCCATCCCTAACCAAGGTTTCCCACTCTACTCCATCTTCCATAAATATCATGAAACCAACACAAGTTGCAACACTACCACGAACGAACCAACTTTCCGTAAACCATCCATCTACTTCCTCCCCGTTCTCCTCTCTAAACGATATCAAAACCTCGTACTCACAATTTCAAATATAGAATGAGATAAATGAATAGATAACTGCACAGGAACTCTTTCACAAATTGTTCCCATTCCTACTATCATCACTTACACATCCTCCGCATACACCAAAATAATCATCCATAGCACGTACAAACTACATAGCACCTCAAACAAATACCCACTATCCGCAATCTCACAACCGCCAACCCTTCAAACCCTTCACAACCCGAATCCAATCTACTCCAATCCACTCAGCATTCCAACCCAATTCCACTCCTCATAACTCTACCCCCTACAATTCTATTCCCAATTCTCAATTTCCCATCCCCTATTGCGCATTCCTTATTCTCTATTTCCCCTCTCTTTTTCCCTATCCATGCAAATCCAGCTACCCATACAAATCCATCGATTCTCCTCCACACAAACACACAAATATCCAAATCCAAGTCCAAAGCATCTATCCATCTAATTCCACAACAAGCAAATCTACCAACCCCTGAATCATCTTGAATCTCTCCCCTCCTCTTTCCCACCTCCCCCTTCCCCACCCATCCAAATCCAACAATCCTCTTCTGAACAGACGCACACAAACAGACAAATATCCAAACAAACAAACAACCCAGATCCGAATCCAAATCCAAATCCAAATCCAAATCCAAATCTATCCATTCCATAAGAAACGAATAAACCAGCAAGCTTCCTAGCTACCTAGCGACCTCCCTATCTACCTCCCTAACCCCCTACCTACCCCAAAAACCAACTGTCCATAAATCCCTCTCCCCCCCTCCCCTCTTCCCTCTTCCCACTCCTATTTCTATTCCTCTCATTATACATATACACATATACATATATCACAAATCAGATCTCTCAGCCCTACTCCCTATCTACTTCCTATTTACTATTCAGATTTCTCAAGAGTCATCTATAATAACCAATTTTCTACTTTATTTATAGGACTATGTATAATGATAGATTATACCCATCTCATCTGCCATCTCATCTCCCATCCCATCTCCCATCTCGTTCCCATCCCCCTTTCCAAATTTCCAAACACCATCTTCACCCGCCACCATACCAGAACGTACTCCCCCCCCTTTTCTCTCCATTTCAATCTTCAATCCCGATATAAATTCAGATATCCAATATCTATCATACTTAATATATTATCTATATACCCATTCATATCCATATCCATATCCATATCCATATCCCCATCCCCATCCAAACCATTCCATCCATCTACGCACACCAGTCCATTTCTTTTAATTCCTCTTTACCTTCCACCTACCTCCTTCTACCTCCCACTCACCTCCTCCCCACACATCTACCCATTCTACCTATACAGATAATACAGATAATACAAATACATCCTCACTCCTCCATCACATACCCCCACCTACCATTTTTCCAACTCCAACTCCAACTCCAACTTTCCAGATCCAAATCCAAATCTATCTATCTCTCTCTCTCCCCCCCCACACACACTCCATCTCTACAATAAATCAATACTAAATCAATCACCACCAAACTCATTCAAACAAGACCATCACATCACATCACATCACAATATCATAAGATAACATAATTAAAACTATACATATATCCACCCATACCAACAACAACTACTACTACATTCCCCCTCAAATATCTCCTGCAACCCACCCCACCCCCTCCTGGGGACCTATCAAAATCCCAAATCCAAAAAACCAATACAAGAAGTTCTCCCCAAAAACGATTGTATACACGAAAATATCCATACAGCGATAAGTCATTCAGTAGCTAATATATACATACGCCCCCGCCATCGCCACCGCCTATACTCACAAGCGACCATGTACCCTCGTAAAGATTGGTGATGGATCCATTTGTGTGGTAGTTGAGCGTTAGTATTAATCATGAGTATCGTATACTCATATCATATTTTCCCCTCCAAATCCACAACTTTGAGATGAGACTCCCATGGATTCCAGCCCCTCCGATTATGACCATTTCCACCTATCCCCAATTTCCTCCAGCTTGGCCCAATTTTTGGTTTCAAACCTCGTACTCCTCCTGCTCTGGTCAAATCATATCTTCTCCCAAAACCGCCTTATGAATCCAATCTAACATTTTCCTTCCTGTTTGTAATCCCATCCGTCTTCAATTCCATCCCGGTACCTCGCCCATTAATAGAATTCCCATTCAGCTTAATCTTTGGTTGAGGGGTCTCCTCCAAAACCTTCTTAGCAGCCACGGCATCAACTCCCTGTCTTGCCAATGCATCTAATCTCATTTCCTCCGCGAATTCATTGTCATCATTATCCGATCTGTCATCTTCCACTATACTCATGAAAACGAATCTGTAAGCGATGCGCAGAATATAGAAGAGCCAGAAAAGATTTAGAGCTTGTAAACTAGCGAGAAGAGTGGTAGAGATGACGTGTGAGAGTTGACATTTATATTGTTCGGTTTCCCAGTTCAATTCATAAGGACCGACGGTTTTGAATTCATTGAATTCCGAGTAGAGAATCCTGAGGTTCAGGTAATGACGGAGGTAGACCCAGGCAGCAATGAAGAATGCGAAGTAAGGTCCGACAAGAGGGTGATCTAAGTAATTGAGAGTTTTGGATGTCTAAAAAATTGTTAGTCCAAGTTACGTTTTAGGACACAAGAGAATTGTAAACATACCGCCAGGAAGAAATCACTAATATCGTGAGTAACATAAACAGCCAAACCCATATATGTGAAATGAAATCGGTAGCTCAATCCAATAAGGAACAAAGACACAATGTGATGTCCAACCAATTCCCGATAATCCTTCCTAGGCTTCTCCAAACCCAGGCATAAAACCAGAGCTTGTTGCGCCCAGTATGCAGCCTGGAACAAGTAATAGAACTTAAATATGCCTTCGTGGGTCTTGTGCGGGAATCCCTCATACATTCCAAGTGTATTGAAATACCAAACCGGTGTTCGACTCATGACGTATAAACCGCAAGGACCGAGGAACCCAAAATAGATAGCAGTGTACATTTGTTCCATAAATCTTGATTGTTTAGCCCTACTCTTCAATCCGCTCTTGCGAGCCAATGGTCTCAGGAATTTCTGCATGATGAATTCTCGGGTGAAGGATAAAACCACAATGTAGAAAGAAACCAAAGCAAAATCCCATGGTCCTTTGCCATATTGAATTGGTGCTCCGGGGTCTGACCCTTCCTCTCGAGGAAGTTCGTAAGCTGGGAAAATGAAATAGTGAATGGGATTAGATTTCGAAGGATTGATAGCGTATAAGGAGAGGAAAGCCGCGACGATAGCTAGAGGTGTAACCCACGTATGCTTCAATGCATATCTCTTATATTGTTGCAAGAGTGTCTTTGCTTTTCGCCGTTTCGAGTATGGTTTCTTTCGATCCCTATCTGCCTGTGCCTAGATACCAATGCATCCATCAATGTCTGCAATCATCCACAGGAGAGAGAATAGAAAATGGAAATTACTG